TGAACATCGTTCACTGGGAGTGAACATCGTTCACTGGGAGTGAACGAAAACGAAATACATGTGCTTAGGAGGAACTGAAAACAATAAACTAAACTTATAAGATGGAAATGTAATTGTTCCGAATATATCTATTGGGGAGCAAAGCTGGAAAGAGATGGGCGCGCTGAAACAGAAATCGAAGAACGATTTTGTTTATTGTAGAATTGATAGCGGTAAAAATTTTATAATAATAAGATAAAACCAAAATATATTATTTCAATCATAAATAGGTGTACCTATAATAGGTAGTTACCTAAATGCAATTTTTTTACAGATGAATATCAGTCAAGATCGACGTAGAAACACGGGCAGCTGAAATATTAGGATTGTCTTTAAAACTAGATAAAAACATTCCTTATGCAGTCAGTCCACTACTAGTGTTATTATTTCTGAAGATTCAGAGCCCACAGGGCAGCCACAAAACGAACACTGTGTAAACTTAATTCATGAAATGACGACATCGAACCACAGTGTACTGTTACCAGATGGAAGTTCCTACATTCCGGAGACAAATGAAAACATTACTCCTCCTATTAGTACAAGCCAACAAGTTGGTAGTCTTGCCTTGTCTAAATATCAAGAAAGTAATCGTTCCTATCAAAATGTGTGCTCCTTCAACAATTTAGAAGACTCATACTTCCAAGAGTTAAACGAGAAACTTCATACTGAAAACTTAATTAGAGAGATCATCGATTTGGAGTACATCTTCAGCTCACGATTTTTCACCCAGTGAAAGTTCCTATAACCCAGAGTGTAATTCATCGGATATTCGTCTGAAGAAGATAATGTCGCCGGATTCTGAGCTGGTGCCAAGACAGGTTTATTTCGGAGAAATCAATAAAGAACGAAAAAGAAAAATTAAATCAGATAGTAAGAAAAAAAATCATAACAAACAGTTAAGAATATTTGGCAAAGATTACTTAGGTTATACAAACCCAAAAGAGGAAAAAATATTACACAACCCAGAAGCGCTCGCAAACTGGGAGAAGCATGCAAGTCTAAAAAATGTACAAGTAAAGTCAGAATTGTGAAAAACTGACCGTGGAGATGCGACAAGATAAATTTAATATTTTTTGGACAAACTTAAATTGGGAACAAAGGAAGATTTATATAAATGGATTAGTCTTCCGACAAACTATTGCTAGAAAAACTGTAGGGTGTGAGACAAGACGGGAAGGTACTTTCCAGTATTTTTTGCCTACAGCTGAGGGTAATTTGCATGTTTGCAAGACATCCTTTTTAAATACATTTTCCCTAGGTTCTTTTACTGTACAATCTTGGGTCAAGAAGTCAGTTCATAAAACACTTCCATGTAATGAAGTCATCAATAGCAATCGAAAACGAGTTGTGCCAAGAGGAACGGTGAAAAGAATATAGATGATACGTGAATTTTTTAAAATATCCCAACACTCCCCACACATTATACATAATAGAAAAAATTCAAGAAAATTATTCATCGAGCCATACTACCGAACTCTATAATACCTATAAAAGAGGTTTCTCAAATAATAACGAGGAGAGTGCAAGCAGACATACTTTTGACAAGATATTTACAGATATCTCTCTATTTATACCTTAAAAAAGAATATGTGTGACATCTGTGTCAGTTATAAAGAAGAAAATATTTCAGACGAAAAATATAAAATCCACAAGGAAAACAATTCCTGTAGCTGGCTGTATACCACGTATCACAAAAGAAGAGGTTAGTCTTCGTAAGTTGTTATATTTATTTAAAAACCCTTAAAAGGGCTACAACAAAAAAAAATTTGGGCTAAACAGTCCATCATCAGTTTTAAAATCGCTAGGTTAAAATGCCTGAGCCACCAAAAATACATGGGTAAAAACCCTTTAAATTACATATAGTTATAAAAGATTATACATTTTGTTGTTAAAAAACTGTGATGTTCAGTATACAATTAAATATGACTTCAGGTAACATACATTGCAAAAATTGAGTTCCAGAGCCGGGGAGAAAACCTCTACGCACGGAGAACAGTTTCCAGCTATTCTCCGTGCGTAGAGGTTTTCTCCCCGGCCCTGGAACTCAATTTTTGCAATGTATGTTACCTGAAGTCATATTTAATTGTATACTGAACATCACAGTTTTTTAACAACAAGATGTATAATCTTTTATAACTATATGTAATTTAAAGGGTTTTTACCCATGTATTTTTGGTGGCTCAGGCATTTTAACCTAGCGATTTTAAACCTGATGATGGACTGTTTATTCCGAAAACGTTTGTTTTTTTGATGTAGCCCTTTTAAGGGTTTTTAAATAAATATACCCACTTACGAAGACTAACCTCTTTTTTTAAAACATATAAAGATCATATTCAACGTAAATCAAAAGCAAGAGCGGAGAAAGAACATGACAAGGAAAAAGCTCAAGCTGGTGAATTTAATCTTCTTACAATGGATCTTAAAGCTGTCAAAGTGTGTCCTTACCTGACTGCAAGTGCCCTCTACTTCAAAACCAAGTTAAGTTGTCACAACTATAGGGTCTACAATTTAGTCACTCATCATGCAACATGCTATTGGTTTGACGAAACTTCCAGTGACTTGACAGCAAGCACATTTGTTAACTGTCTTTTAGATTACTTGTCACAACACTGTCTCACAAATAGGTTACCTATAGTAATATTTTCAGATGGCTGTACATACCAAAATCGGAATAACATTATGTCTAACGCACTATCTGCATTTCCTGTAAAATATCAAATAGTTATAACCCAAAAGTTTTTAGAACCGTGTCACACTCCAATAGAGTGTGACTCGGTCCACAGCGCTGTGGAGATTAAATTGATTCATTTTCTGAGTGATTATGCTTCTGCTACTAAGGAAGCAAGAAGTAAGACATTTCCGTATGAACTGAAATTGATTGACTATCAGTTTTTTTAAAATTACGCAAATGAGGAGACATGGCGATACACTTCCATTATGCCAGGTCATAAAGTAGGAGATCCTGTTGTAACAGATCTGAAGGCTTTACTGTATACCATAGATGGAAAAATACAATATAGACGAAACTTTGATGATGAGTGGAGCGAGTTGCCCATAAGACCTAAAATTATCCCTGAACCGATTTATACTCCCTTGCATGACAAAGTACTACCTATTAGTTCTACGAAGTACTCTCATTTACAACAATTGAAAACTGTGATACCGCAAGACTGTCATGCATTCTGTGACTCACTATCTCAGAAGTCTTAATGTGTTGATATCATTAATAATAATAAAGTTTTTTGACTTTAAATTAATTTTTTAATTACATGTAAAAGCTCCTATCTTTCATTAAACACATATATTTCAAGTAACACAGAAAAACAATACCTCCTAACTGACAAACTGTCTTTTTCAAAATCAAATATGTGACGTACGATAATCTTATACATGTAAGATAGAAGGTATTTAACGATCGATAAGTTTTTTGGAATATGGTTTTTCTTTTTATAAAACCTAGGCACGCCGTCACTGACAACTATTTCGTACTTCGAATACAAATTATGTTTTGTAAGTACTGTGCTGTACAATATATCGCCTATTCTTTGTTTCAAGTTAAGAAAATAACATTACGCTTATGAAGATCAGTGTTGCCAAAACTCTCAGACACTCTCTTTTGCACGGATGTCCAAGATATTCCCTTTGCTTAATTTTTGAATTTTCATTTTCAATTAACACTTAACTGTAAAGTCAGAATAACTACTAAATAAAAGCCTTATTATCATTATGTAGTCAGAGAACGACATAAAATAGCTGACATACGCACATCGTATTATTTTAAGTTGCAATTAGTAATTAGATATACGCATTCCAAGCCGTCAATATTTTCTACTGATTTCTATGATTCATGGCATATCGTATTCTCACCGAAAAACAAATAAACTGTCGTTACTATAATTAAAATAAGATAAAATAAAATTATCTTTTGTAAATATTATTTATCTAATTAAAATCATTTTCCCTACTTTTCATCTCTTGTTTCGAATGGGCACTTTTGGTCAATTACGTTAAAAAACATTAATTTAATTCATGTTTGTGGAAACAAAAATACAAATTATACAACCCTAAATTGTGCTTGTGTGTGTCGTGGCAACGCCGCGTTGCTATCGTCCATAAGAAATACATGGCCCTATCTCCGCAATGTTATTTTCTAAACGTGGAACGTAGTATAGAATGTTTCTTTCCAATGTAAATAGTAAGTGTCAATTTCTTTTTTTTGTATTGGTCTTTTTTAGACATGTTTTTATTTTCCGAAATATCGAATCTTCGAGATTCCACTGTACAAATATTTCTGTGGAATTCCTGTCTCATATGAATAATGTCACAGTGAAACATATATATCTTTGTACATGAGAAATCTAAATAAGACAATCTGATAGTTTACCTTTAGAAATTAGTTTTCGTTTGTGAATAGTTAAACCATGCAGTATTCATACGAGCACTAAACAAATATTGAAAATCATATCAATGACAAAACTTTTGGCTCCCAACTCAGTAACATTTCGTGCTACCCTTCGCTGTCATCTGTCAACACGCAACACCATTTTCTATAATCTCAGATCATTCAAACCAGAAAAAAGGCCATCATCTGTCAACAACACATCCAACCATATTAGATCATTTAAACCGGAAACAATAACTTAATCTATTAACTACCCGGCGCTGAGATTCAAAGGCTTACTTTCCCCTTCACTAACCCTCTTAGTTGCACCGACGGTCAGATCCGTAGGAACGTCAGAAATAAACGAAGAGGTAGGCGATTTTTTAGTAAAACTTAAGTCTAAGGTACCACTAGAATAATTTAACTTCGGTATTTTAGGCGGTTTTTCTCCGTAATCCTTTTTCCTACCCATACTAAGACTGAATTCATTTAAATGCTTATTTATACTACTTAAATCAGGCATGAGAAATTCAGGTTTTGTCACAGTAGCCTTTCCCAATGACGATATGTAATCGGTCATTGAGAACTCTTTAGGGGCTTTTGGCATTGTGAATTCGTGTTGTGAATATTCCTTCTTGGACTTTGTGTGATAATAATTTTCTGAATGATTCCTCTTTGGGAGTTTCATTTCAGAAGGTATTTTCAGGGAAGAAGTAGAAGGAAGTGGAGCTCCCAAAGCTGCACTTGGAAGTGACTTATCTGATCTATTAAGTCTTGACGGTGGGGGCACAGGTGGAGGAGGTAGATGCGCACTGGACGTAAATGGTTTAAACATGTCTTGCATTTTAAAATAGTTCGACTGCAAAAACATATTATTCGCAGCAAGGGTACTATGCGCCATAGGGTCTGGTAAGCCTAAGAGACTTGTAGCACTGGGAAATTTACCAGAATTATAAAGTATACTGGAAATATCCGTAGGTAACATGTAACTTGACGCCAAACTAGCTGGAGGGGTGAACGTGTGGAAGAACTGGCTAGGTTTCGAAACAGTAGGTATACTAATCAAGGGTTCTTTCTCTTCCACGGGCAAACCTAGAATCTCTTTAATAAACTTCCATAAAGCTGTTTCGGACTCTTCCCTGGGAAACTTTGACATTAGAGTAGTCCTTAACTTATCTATGTAACAGGTAGTTCCCATGTAACTATCTGCAAAATTAATATAATCAGTCTCTTTCTTATAATATTCGATGCACTTTTTCATTTCGTCTTTTATGTGAGGGGCCACAACGGAATCTTGTGTTACACTGTACGACATCAACATCGGTCGGCCATATTCGTTCGGCTTCGATTCCGGTGGAGGTATAACCCAATAGGCTATAATGCTTGATTCTAAAGATGGGGTATCGTAATTATACGGGGCTGTAAAATAAAAAGGTAAATTATACATTAAGTTTATTAAGTAAGACAGTATAATAGCATACTCTATAATAAGGTTTTAATTAAAATTCGAAATAAATGCTATGGAAGATTCCTACAAACCTGGCCAAGGACAGGTTCCTCCAAACAGTTTAAAAATCGAAATTTTCTTTCAAAAATTACTAGCAAATACTCTTAGAAATGATTTCCATGACCCGGGAAACTAGTACCTACTTAGGGTCGCTTATCCAGGGTCACGGATAAAGTCCACAATGGCAGCCACGGCGGAGAAGAATACCTTCGGTACGGTGCAAATGACAGAAGTGGCAATCCCCTGATTTTAGGGATTGTATAGAATCACTCTCCAACCCGCTCGGCAAGCGTAGCGTTTTAAATATGCTAAAATCTCCCAAGTTGAAGTTGTCGAGTATCAATACGAAATTAGCCCAGGTGAGTAGAGTTATACACTCAGAATCTCTACCGAGCAATCAATCAGCCTCATGGATTCTGGAGGAGGCAAATATTCGACTGAATGTAATAAGAAAAACTAACCATCATTGTTTCGTATAGCCACTTACAATATAAGAATTATGAGGACCCAAGAACACCTTGACGAACTAGAACAAGAGCTCTCAAATATCAAATGGGATATAATTGGCCTGTGCGAAACTCGCTTACCAGGAGAAGAATGTACCATCTTGAATCTGGTCACCCGCTATACCAAAACAATCTGTAGAAAATCATCACATAGGCGGTGTAGCGTTCCTCATAAACAAACGAGCTCCCTATAAAGTAACGAAGTTCTGTGCAGTATCAAACAGATCTGGTTATTTGTATAAAAAAAGAAAAAGAAGATTGTACTATTGAAAATCAACAGTACAAGAAAAAAACTGATAGAGATGACTTAAGTCCATGGTGTATTTTTGATCAATTAATTGGACATGACTCATCTAAACGTACACTATTGTATCGAGAGTCCAGTACAATGGTGGAAATCCCACCGCCATGTATATCCTAACTTAACTACTATATTTATAAAATATTGTAAATGTGAACAGATGTTCAAAATCTGGTTTAATTTTAAATAAAAGAAGAACACGGTTAACAAGAAGTAAAGTGGAAAAACTTATGTTTTTAAATGTCAATTTAAGACGATTCGCGATTTAATAATAACGTGTAATGTTAATGTAAGTACGATTTACTGTTTGTATTGTTTAGTTTATGTTTCAAGTTATAATAAATATATCCTTCATTAGTTTCTTTCACTTCAATAAATATACACATAAGCGATAATAGCCATTATGTTTGTTTATGTAGGTACTCTCTTACTTGAAACTACTGTTAAATCAATCATAGTTACTTGTTTACGAAAATCGGTTTACGATAAAAACGTCAACTACCCACCTCTACTCGTTACCACTGTCCCTACTTTGATTTGGTGCTTTGACCACGCGAGACGAGACGTTGCCCAATAATTTTGTATGAAGGTTTTTTAGTGTGGCGTCATATGCACGTTTATGCACGTAATCGTTTATATAAAACGATTTCCGAAGTAGAAATCAAATTGTTATAGTACACTTATTGTAAAGTAAAATTGTGCAACGTTGTTTAGGAGGAACCTGGTCTTAAACCACATGTTGATATAACTTTTAGTCTAATCGACTAATTCTCCATTACCTAAAGTTAAATTAATGAAGATGATATAAGGATGAAACAAGAGAATAATACTTACATATTATAACTCCTATACAAGGTGAATAGCTGCTGTCCTTAACTCCTTTCATCTTAATTTGATATTCTAATTGAGCATCAATATCCCTTAATGTTGGAGCAGCTGCAGCTGTTGGATGAGAATGGTACCATCCGATGAGTGTGAGCTTTTCTCTTTCTATGGTTTTCTTGATCTCGGTTTCTATATATCGGGCACTGGATCTATCCTTTTTTGAACAACGACATGGAAAAGCACGTTTCACGTGTAAATCTACAAATATAAATAAGAGAATTAATTTTTTGTTAGTTAAGTAATAAAGATATGAAAAAAAGACAACTAAATAAATACAAAGATAAAATAAATAAGAAAAGAGTAGAAAATAAAAATAATAAAATAAATACTGAAATTCCATATTTTTCCGATAAACTGTAAGAAAAATGGAAATAAATTGTTGAACGATCAGCTGAAGTTACGAAGTCATGCAGCTAAGCTTTCTCGTGATTTTTCTGTGTATAGCTCTGTATGTAACTTGTAGTAACTGTATGTAACTCTGTATGTAACTTGTGGTCATCTCACGAAATGTATAAGAAAATCATAGACAACGAAGAGGACATCCAAGCACCCGAAATAACTCAAGAGCCTCGAAGCAAGAAGGTTCCGCGGGAGGCCAAGGCACGGGACAGAACTCAGATCCATAAAACCCACATCGTAAGAATCAGGCTCACTTCACCTCGCCCAGGCCTGGCACGTCGGCCGTGACCCGCTTCCTTGCCAAGCCCGACACGCCCCGATCCTTATCCCGAAGTTACGGATCCAATTTGCCGACTTCCCTTACCTACATTATTCTGTCGACTAGAGGCTCTTCACCTTCGGACAAGGGAAAGATCCGGACGCCGCTGCAATTGCGGTGCTCTTCGCGTTCTAAACCATTTCTCCCTGCTAGAAAATTCCATGGAACTTAAACGCTTATACAGAAAAGAAAACTCTTCCCGGATCTCTGGACGGCGTCTCCAGGTCCTTTTGGGTTACCCCGACGAACTCTTGCGAGGGCCAGACTTTTTGAAGGTTCCGCTACCGGGTTCCGGAATAGGAACCGGATTCCCTTTGGCTCCACATGAGGCAATACAGATGACAAAAAATGGAAAAGCACTCGGACCGGTGAGTGTTGGAATACTAAAGTTGCTAAGAGAAAATGAAAGTAAAGCACTGTGTAATGTCTTAACACGGGTATATTACGCACTGATTGGCTTCTTCCGTCAAAAGACTAAAGAAACACCATGCAATGAGAAGTGGTGATTACTGAACAACAAATTCTATGACTCGCGATTTAAATATGCGAGTTTCTCGACAGCTGTTCGCTGTCGCACAACTGATCAAATTATAGTAAATCTCGAATCTCGTGGATCGTAAAGCAGATCCCTACCTAACAGTATAACAGTGTTTGCTGTTTGATATTAGCGTTAATCTTACTACTTACTTTGTGTATTGGGTTCCCAACGACCAGCAAGATAACCGGATACTTCCGATTTCGTCAAGTGGCAATGAAAATCCATAAGGAATGCTGAATTGGTTGTCATGGTAATTAGAAACGGTTGTAGCTTTCCCAAGCTTGAAAATGGCACGCATTCGATCATTGTATTCGTATCGCTGAAAATGAAGAACATTTTATAAATTATTTTTTGTTAATAATTATAGTTACTATATTCAGGGTGTGGCATTAGTGCGAGGGAGTCCAATTATTCATTTGACGTGAGAGATAAGAAAAAAATATTTAGAGATTAGATCCATTAGACAGAGATGCAGGTACTGCTTTGTCAGTTTTTTCTGTCTGTGCTTCAAGTCGGTGAAAACGCATCAAAATTTTTTGTAAGTGTTTAAAAAAGCTTTATTTTTGATTTTTTTAGTTTCTAGGGTAGGGTTTTCTGAAAGTAAGTATGACCTAAATCACAGCCACCTTTACTTCCAAGCCATGAAGTAGAAATTTGGCAACAACGCGTGGTAGTCCGACCGTGGTTTGTTTTGTTTAATACTTCATATAGGAAGGCTTGTAAAGTTTGTTGAATTTAGTGTTTTTTTTAAATTTATTCGAATGTTTTATTTGTAAATTGTGTTTAAATCAATTAGAAAATATTAATATAAGTGAAATTTCATTAAGTTTAGAAGATTCTTAACGACAATTTAAAAGGCAAGTATAAATATAACCTACAAAACAAACTGAAAATAATAATACTTTTGCTTCTTGTTACAAAATATGTAAACTAAAAACAACAATAATAATACGTTTGTTTTTTGTTACAGATGCTCTGGCATTGTTGTGTACCTGGTTGCAAAACCAATTATGCCAGTACTTTAAAAACGAAACAGGCAGAAAGTACGTTTTTGTTTCCCAAAGATCCCCAAAGAAGGTATACTGGGTTATGCTCTATTCATAGAGGACGGCTATACAATTACCAAATCTTCCGTAGTATGTGCCAAACATTTTCATGAAGATGATATTCAGCGGACTGAACAATGAGAAGATAAAGATGGAAATATACACGTTGAAAAGTTAATATTTCCCAAATTAAAAGGCAATGCAGTTCCTAATATATTTCCTGAAGTACCATCATATGTAACTGTTCATCGTACTAAATAAAGAAGGAATCCCGAAGACAGAAGAAACTTTTTGCATAAGAAGAGGGAACAAGAGATAACATAATTATGACAATTAGACTTAGACAATAATATCCCATTGAAAAATTGGACAAGTAAAATTACAAGTGACTGTATATTTCTATGTATTAAACATTAATCAGTTGGGACACTAGTGTGATAATATTTGTGTAATAAGTATAAATAGTGTAATAGTTAGCAGTAATTTTAGTGTAATCGTCCATGTAGGTAAGAATAGACTAAGTAGTAATGATTTGAAATGGATTTTACAATATAGTAAATTAACAAGATGGTCACAATTAGAGAACTTACTTTCTCATTTAGATCTGCTTTTTAGATAAGTGATAACAAATTTGAGTATTACATTCAAAAATCTTTTGAGAATATAGGCTATTTTAAATCGATATACAAGTTATAAATGGTATGTTACATTCAACACATTTTTCATGTATACCTCTCTTAACTTGGTCTATATGACAAAAAACCTATTCATATTTAAAATTGCTACTTTCGTATACCTAAGTATGAAAATTCAACAAAAGTTATAAGTAAATAGTAAAATATTTAATTTTGAATTAGATTAATTTAGAACCATATTTATATCGTGTCTGATTTCTTAGGATGAATTTTTTAATCATAATAGTTACACTGTTTTTTTAGAACAAATTTTAAAACAAAGTTTTTACTGAACAAATTTTATATCTTTTGTATTTTTAATAATCTTTTTAAATGTCGTGTTAATGTATTGTGTTATTTATATGCTTAAGTACTTATTATTTAAAATTTCTAGAGATTCTTGACTGCATTTGATTGTAAGATTAACTGTTTGACACTGTATTTTAAGTGCAATAAATTTTACTCTAGTGATTATTTTATTGATAATATAAACCTAAATAATAATAAAACTTTATATATATTTATTAGGTAAATATAGGGTTTTATTAATTTAATTTCCCTAAAAATATTTCTGTAATGAATTGAAGTTTTCAAAATATCAGTTTCCTAAAATTCAAATTAGTTTAATTTTCTGGTAGACCTTACAGCTGATTATCGGACTACCGACGTCATAGAATGCGGTGTTGCCTTTTTTACTTCATGGCTTGGAAGTAAAGGTGGCTGTGCCTAAATCCAAATTTCCGTGCAAATCAATGGAGACAAGGTAGTCAATGGCATTGTTTTAATTATAACTAATCTAGTGGTTGAGATTTAGAAGTTAAACTATGATAAAATCGTAAATTATGTCATTTGACATTCATTTACTTCTTTAAAAGATGATTTGAATCAATTACACACTTTAATTTACAATTATACGATTTTTTTCTAATAGGGGTAGCTTTCACCACTAAAAAAAGGAAAAGCAACCATCGTCAACCAGCAACCAAACATCACAAGTCCAAAAGTGAAATAAAAGGTAAAATTACAGGGTATCACCGCATTTCACGTTCATTTACTGGTCTAAAAATTTTCTGGATCTCCATTTTAGATGACCAGCCTTAAAATTTTGTATTGAGTCGACGGAAAATAAATACAAATACTTACTGGGTAATTGTCCTATTCGTAATGGTATTGTGTTTAACCACCATTCTCTGATACATCATGGAATTCATCATACTCCTTTGAAGCAATTGTTCCATGTTAGCAGCTACAACACATCATTTTATTATTAACCAACAATCATGCAGAAATAAATAATAAAAATAGAATTTCTCTCACAAAAAATAAATAAAAACGGTATTAACTTACCTTCTCTTTCTTTCATTAACTTCTCTTGCTTTTCGTCCTCTTCTTTTTTCTTCTTATACCAAACGTTTTTAAAAGCATCCAATTTTTTCCCTCTGTACTTTACAGATGCCCATCCACAACCGGATTTTTTATCGGGATTGATAAACCGTTTGCAAGCGATTGCCCAAGCACTGGGCGAAGCAAAAATTGTGTCTGTCTCTTGACTGCGGATTTTTCCGTCTTCGAGAAGATCTCCAACAAATTTTTGTCCCTGGAGAAAAATTTATATTAAGAAAAACACAATTTGTGCAAGAATATCTAAAGTAGAGTAAGAAGTACAATCAGCATTCTGAGTAAAAAGTAAAACTACTATTAAAAGGAAAAAGTAGTGTGCGCTTACCAAATATTCTATTGTCATAGCCCCAGGACCGGGCTGCAAAATACCCGCAGATAGTAAATTCTGCAGGGTCACTGTCCTATTGTTCGATTCTCTTCCAAAAACCGGCGGGGCCGGTGGTTTAATCGGCTGAATTTTAACAGATTCTGTTACTTCCTAAAACAGTGTAAGTGGTGTAAGCAAATAACTATCCAGGTCCTAAATATTACCACATATATCCCTTTCAAAACGAAGAAAAACATCAAACCACCCTCTTGAGAGCGGATCTGATTTCCGAACCACATACTTAGTGTGTTTAATTTCAGTACTGATAAATTCTCAATTTTATACTAATATTTTCCCCATAGTAAATCAACAAAAGTGATATACCTGTTTATTAAAGTTAGTGTTATAAGAAGACGTAAAAACGTAAGTAAAACAATATTAATTTATAATTATTTGGGAACTCGATCTAAATAAAATCATCATATGAACACAACACTGGACTGGTTTTTTATCAACAACAATTAAAATCAAGAACGTACTTGGATATGATTATAATAATACATATATTATAATTAGTATAATAAATTGTTTAACCCTTTGACGACTGTCGGTATGCTGAGAACACCAACTTTGCAAATATTTCTTTTATACTTTCCAGCGGTTTTATAGTCGTACCAGTGCGTAGAATTGGTTGCCTATATGTACCTATATTATATTCTTAAGGTCGAATCAGACACATCAGTCACGTCTCGTCACCATCTCGTCACAGTGATTGCGCCGAATCGAACAATCCGTCATACAAAATATTCTTTAATACAAATATGTTGCCGGCATTCACACTCATTAGTTGACAAACAGTTTCCCAGCTGTCAGATAGTTGATAGTTCTGTGACCAAACAGGACCAGTTCGGCGCCGAGACTATGACGGGACTGATGTGTCTGAATCGACCTTAAGTGTAAAACCAGTTTAGAAGCGATTTTATTGAATCACATTGATGACTGGATAACATAAGTAGTCAAGCACACATTTGAAGCAGACGTTCGGTGTTGACAGAACGATATATTTTAATTATTTTCTTGTTTATTCAATTATCTATAAAAATTACGCGTAAGTGATAATTTTGAAGTTTCACACTAAGTACTATTATTTGCATGAATACATTCCAATTTTTTTTGTATATAATAGTATTCTTTTATGTCGTATTCTGACACGACCACACTGCATTTCCTATTCGCTGTGAGCCGATGAGTAGAGGGGATTTGACAGTTTTCACCAACGCTGTTAGTGGCAGTTTTGTGCATTTAACTTGTAAATATTCAAATAATGGCGAATATGGATTTTTCAAAAAGAAAAATATATGATACATGTAAAAATACTGGGTACAACAGTCATTGTAAATTTTATTCATTTCCTGTTGCCAAGCATAAAATAGTTCAAAGAGAAAAATGGATTATTGCTATCAACGAGAAAAATAAGTAAATAACCTATAATGCAAACATGATATTTGTATGGTGTAAAATTAAAAAGTTATTATATTCCGAAACATTGCGTACATGCCCTGCATCAACTAAACCTTTTCCCTTTTTTTGGTGTAGCTGGTTGAAATGGGATATCATGTGATATAGACTTAAAACCAGTATAATGTTTAATATCCATTTTGATAAAATTAAAACAAATTTAAGAGGTGGAGGCCATAAAACGAAAGGAGAAGAAGAAGAATTAAAACAAATTGATATCTAAGCACTAAGGCCTACGCACACAAAAAATAACTGAGCAAAAACAGAATAAAAATGTAAAATAAAAACAAGAATTGCAACGTTACAGAGGTAAAGGTAACCAGAATATAGACGTTTTAAGCGTCTATAACCTTAAATATTTGCTTTAAACCATTAAATATTTTCAAGAAAAACTTCTTCTTTTTCTCAATGACCTCTTGCGTAAGTAGTCATCCAGTCGCAAGAACTTATATCTTAAATATTATAATTATAATGAATAAAATAACAAGGCGTAATTACTTTTACTATTAATTCTGTGTATTCGTTCATTAATCAGTTTACCATAATATTTCAGTTCATTATTTTGTATTTTTAAATAAATATCTATTTTTCTCGTTTTGTCATATTTCATTTACACTGATTTTACAAGAAAAGTACAAGTTTCAAACCGCGAGAGAGCGCTACCGGCGAAACTCACAGCGAATATGAATTATGCCAATATGTAAAATCAAAAGTGGAACTTTAGGCATTTGGAAAATATATCCCAAAACGAGGTTGATGCCTTATTGGATGAAATTCCAAGTGACCAGGAGTCAATTATCTCTGATATTTAAAACGTCTTGGGAGATGAATTGGATGTTGATAAATTTCGGCAGACGATACAGTAATAATGACGGATAACAACAATGATTTACATAACGTAATGCAACGCCTTAATGAACGCTATCATGAGTACGGACTGAAGATAAATTTAAAGAAAACTAAATGCATGATCATGACTAAATCTGCACATGCAAATATCCAATTGACTATTGAAGGTACTGCAATTGAGAGTGTTAACTATAAATACTTAGGAACATGGATAACATCAGATGTAGACCAACCCAAAGAAATTAAGACACGTTTTGAAATAGCACGTGCACCATTCATTAAACTTAAAATTGAAAATTGTATTGAAATAGCACGTACATCATTTTTTTGGGTACCTTCACATATGGGTATCTATAGAAATGAAAAAGAAGATCAACTGAACAAACAGTCGAATAAGCTCAAACCATATTGCAAAGTTGAAAACATAATCTTTACACCGATCTAAAGAAACTGGTTAAAATCCACTTTACTAATACATGGCAGAATCATTGGGAAAAAACTAGGTACAAAATTAAATGTAATTTGCCCAAAAATAAAGCTGTCCTGAATAATCCTTTAAACAGAAAAACCAAGTCGCAGGACACAAATACTTAATAATAAAAGAATCATTACCGATCTGCTCCAGCTGCTCTGATCCACTGACAGTTAAACATAACCTGCTTGATCATCCGCAATTCAAGGAAGTAAGAAGATACCATGGAATTAAAGACCATGATCTCAAATCAATATAATAAAAACAATACTAATGTTTGTATTTTGAGAACGATTTCCGAAGTGGACATTGAAACGTCAATAAACGTATTTTTATCTTTAATTGTGGCTTATTCCCACTTAAATAGTAATTATCTCAAAACAGATCTCACCAAAAAAATTTCACCAAAAAAATCTCATCAATGTTAACTTATTACCACCATTTTTAAGAGGCCGTTAGGATAATTAAGGCTGTTTTATCGGTGCACCAAAACCTAGTGAGAGTGTTTTCTCTGTTATTTATCGACAAAATGTCTCGAAATTTAGACACGTTATTCGAAATTATGCTGCCTTTAAAATGATGGTTTTACTTTTTTTTATTTTTTTGAAACTTTTGTTGAAAAATTTGATTATACTGTTTAACGTTCTATTATAACCAAACTTTTTACGCCCATCACTTAAGAGTTTTTTTCTGTAATCGTTGATTTTTTTTCACCTTTCTCTGTCCAGTAATAATCGAGAAAAGCGTGTTCCAACTTTGAAGAAAATTGCTAAAAAATACTAAAATTTAATAGTGAAACGTGTTACTCATCATTGTCGCTTAGTTTGATCGTTATCGCCTTCGTGACGTCAAATCTCATGAACGTACGGTCAGTTAGTTGGTGTTAAAACTAATTTGAATGGAGAATAATGCATTTGTTGACACTAAGCATAATCAGTGTAGAAAAGTAAGTGATACGCCCATTTTAAATCGCAGTGTGCTTTGACTGCTAAAACAGCCTTAAGGCACTATATTTGTGAACGTTCTTTATACATAATGACACAGTTATATGCAGAGGACTTGTCTACACTTAAAATTTGGTATAAGATTATAATGTTATTTCTTTCTATTAGTTATAGATTTGAAACTTAAGGTATCTTCTCTAAATGACATTTTCATAGGTTGCACCAATTATTCTTTGTTCGTTGGAAGATTTGCATCTCTTAGAAATAAAGGCGTGTGTGCCACTTACTATAGTATAATATTAGACACTAGTTTAATCTGTGTTAGAGATTGCTACTTTTGAGAAAACTATAAAAAACTAATTATATGTAACTATAAAAAAATATATTACCTTCTCACTCTTTTCTGGTGATGCAATACGACCATTCACTCTCATTCCCGATTTCTGAAATTTTTTTAAAATTAAGGAAAAAAAACTACTAAACAACAAATCAAATGTATCAGTTATCATACTCTTTGGTCTTAATTTTAATTTAAAATCACGTAACTTGCAACCATGTAACCAAATAGATGTTCTACTAATTTTATAGCAAAAAAATTATATACAGTTGCATAAAGTGGTACTTTTTTCATGAATGAATGGAAGGATCAGATGAGTGCGGCAATTTTATGAGTGAAAAAAGACACTTTATGCATGTGTTCCTACAATATTTTTCTACAGCTCTATACAAATAATAAAATCAAAATATGTCATGATTGGATTGGAAATTATAGACAATAATACATTTAAAAAATCAACAACTACATGTTTGTTTCATTTCATCATGTAGATAGCATTATATCCAAGATAGAAAACTAGATGTTACTGTGGAGCAGCAGAACTTCTGATTATTAATTTAGGTAAAGACGAATCATCATCCGAGGACACCGACAGTTATTAAGTTATTCATTGAGAATAAATGTTATCTCTTTTTGTCATATTTTATTTTTTAATTTAACACCTACAACTTGAAAAAACTATGTTCATGTTATAAATCAATAATATAAATTGTGAATATCATAGTTCCATTATTACAATGAGAAACAGAATTGCAGTTTTCAATATATGGGTCTCACCCATATATGACCCATATACACGAAACAACTTCAACGCCAAATAGAGCTAATCAAGAAGAACGAGGAGATAATTAAACAGGACCTCTTAACGGCAGAACCGGAAGGAAGGCAAACGATAAAGTAGTGGGGAGATTTGGAGAGGATGAACTCAGAAGAGGGGTAGAATGTGGAACTGACCATAAACTACTAACAGCAAAAATGGGTATTCGGAAACATAACAAGACCCTCCTCTACAGAATAATCGTTGAATACTATAAGAGAAAAACAATATTCA